TTAGCTGCCACATGATCTGGTGTTGTATTAGATCACTAGATTGTAGCATTTTCTTCCAAACTAGTGATCCACCTCCTCCAACTTTCCACATTACCAAGTTGGCATTCTTACTCCTACAATATTTGTTCTGCATATATTCACTCCATAAAGACTACTTTGTTCTAAAGTTCCACCAAAATTTGCAAAAATGCCAAGGAAACATATCTCATAGAGGAATAAGTAGCATTTTTTGATGGAATGAATCAATCATTATGATAACCTATCAGTATATGATATATATATACACATATTACTATAAGTGGGAAGAGCTTAACCCCAAAGATGATTTACCGTTTTGACCTTACAATATTACTTAAATATTAATTTATTAAAAATTAAATTTGCTAATAATCTCAGCCATAATTTAATTCTCCAGAAACTTAAAGTTGCTGCTCAACATCCTCGATGATTGTAACATAAACGTATAGTTGCTACTCAACCTCCTTGATCAGTGTGACAACCCTTTTCTGATGCTCAAGTTTCATTGCTTTAATTAACAGTTGATTCAAAACCTTTTCAGATACTTCACTCATCTATATAAATGTCTCCAACAATATGTCATTGTCAATTAATTTGTTTCTCTTTTCTCTACTTCAATCAAATACATCATTGTCAGGTAAAAAGAAATTCTCCTTTTTAGTTGTTTTCCCTGTTTACTGTGTATGCCTTTATCTAGCTTATTTCGTTACACTATCTTTATCATGAGTTGCTCTGTTCTTGATATTGTTGTTTTTTTTATGTCACGCAAAAAAAATTTCTTCTTTATCAATAGCCACTCTGTTTCTCCTGTTTTCTGTTTATTTGTTTATCCAACTTATTACGTTTCACCTGCAAGTGTTGCGCATAAATCAAGCTTTGAGCCTTTAAAAAAAATTTGACAAAATTATAAGCAACTTATCAAATCCCTTACCCCACCCAAAAACTAACGACAACACATATGTGAAAGTCTTGGAATTTTGCAAATGTTCGGAAGTGATAGCATGTTGGGAAGTGAAATATTGGTAGGCATTTGAGGTGGCAGGTGCTGGTAATTTGGGAATAGTCGGTATTAGCTGTTGGAAATGTTGGCAAGATGTAATTCTTGGCAATGGTGGCAATGTGGCTGTTGTTGGTAAATTGGAAATAGTGGGTAATTGTGGAATTGTTGGCTGAGGCAACAAGGGGATCGTTGGCAAGTTTGGAAGTTGCAGTAGGCTACGGGCAACATGACTTGGGGTGATGTTTGATCAGGACAATACTGTTATGGCCAAGAAGAGGATTGAACAATTGTTGAAAGGTGCCATTGTTGTATAATTTGCTAGATGGCTTTGTTTTACAAGGAAATTATGTTGTGTTTTGAATTGATTTGAGCTTAATTATCTCTATAGGGTTTATATAGGGGAAGTTCTTTGGGACTATATGCATAATTAGATTAGATGTTAGGTGTTAGTTAACCTTCTTGAATGTTGGTTTGAGGAAATTGATTTGGTGAAATACTTATCCGTATCAGATATTTACACCTATTCCCAGTGCAGTAGCCTTGAAATGAAGAATTGACATGTGAAGGGTGTAATCTTTAGATTCTAATGTGATGCCTAAATTAGATTTTCTTAGACAAGTATTTAGTTGTGATAGAAAATGTGGTAAAAGCTAGAGTGAAATGCTCTCAAATGTCCCCTGCAGTGGTCACGTCTAGTATTTAAGTCGAGACGGGTAGAGGGATAGGGCTATTTTCCACCGAGTTTCGAACTATGTGCCTATTTACCTTTGGGAATTCTCAATTTTCATCCTATGATACCAAAAGAATTAAACTCAGTATACTTTTTTGCTGCTATTCTCAGTACTGTAACCCTGAAATCAAGACTTGACTTGTGAAAGGTGTTATCTTCAGATTCTAATGTGATGCCTAAATTATATTTCTTAGACAGGCATTTAGCGGTCATTGAAAATGTGGTTGAACCTACAGTGAAATGAATGTGCCCCCTATCAGGGCCGACTCAATAAGATTGGGGGCCTAAAGTGAAACTTAAGGGTGGGGCCTTAATATTTCATTTTTTTCATCATAAATACTTTCATTTAAAGTGTACTTTTCTATCCTTTTAGATGCAAAATTATTAGTTACTGTTCTATAATCGATTTGTTTTGATAATTCCTTTTCAATTGATAACATAGCTAATCCACTCAATTTCTCTTGAGAAATTATTTATCTTAAATAATATTTAATCAACTTTAGTTTCAAAAAACTTATTTCGGCCGAGGCAAGGTTAGAGAAACTGTTAACATTATTCTATAAGCAATATGTATAATTGAAAAAGAATCAAGTTTTTAATTTGATAGAGTATTTTTATTAGATCATTATCTTCTACTTGTATTATTTCTCTTCACACTTTTAACTCAAAAAATAAATCTAAACCATCAATAGCAGAATAATTGTTATGTGTGCAGAGAGTTCAAGGTTAAGACAATGTTTTTCAAAAAACTCTCATCATCTAGTGATTTCAATTTACCACTAAATAAGAAACCAAAAATATTTCCATATTCTTCAGTTGGATTAAAAAATAGCTTCATCTACTACACTTATATATTGTGATTTCGTTATCAATATTTTCGACGAATTGTTTCTTACTAAATTCAGATTCTATATTTGTTTCATATGCAATTTCCTGAGTAGAAATCATATCACTAGCTTATAATACATATAATTATTTTAAACAAAAAATAACATTTATAAGTAATATTTTTAAAAATGGGCCCCACAAAAATATGGGGCCACAAGCGATGGCTTTAGTGTCCTAGGTATTAAGACGGTCCTACCCCCTATGCTTTGGCATTGGTAAAAGTCTGGTATTTTAGTTGAGTTGGGTAGAGGGATGGGCCTATTTCCCACGGAGTTTTGAATTATGTGCCTATTGACCTTTTGGAATTTCTCAGTTTTTAAGGGAAAAAAATACTGAAATGTTTTCATCCTATGATACCAAAGACTCAAACTCAATATACTTTTGAGCCAAAAGAGTGCTGAAAATATTGTGTAAAGGAGATGAACAAGAAAAGAAGCTATATGGTTGACAAATCAGATTCATACAGAACTTACCCTACCTTTCTGTATTATATGTATGAATAATCGAAGTAAGAGTGATTAAATGTTGTGTTTGAAATTTCCTTCACATAGCGTTAGAATTCGCCTTTTCATTCGTTATGATGTTAGAACACAACCTTCCCGGTTCACTGCTTGGTCATTATCAAATTAAACTGTGAACGACTATTCCAACGCTGGAGTCTTTGTTGTGGAACCTAGGACCCTTTATTGCTTTGTCTCAATTGTTGTAATATATTGGAATACTCAGCTTTTCTTGGCTGCTTCTACGCATTGACGTGCAAGTGGTGTATAATCTGTTTAAATGCTTTCACAACTTGGCCTTTGTTATTACTTTTTTTTACAAGAAAAAATGGTATGGTAATTCTATATATATCAGAGTGCCAAGGAGGTACGTAAAGAGTACAAAAAGCAGGACTTGTGTAAATCTACATAATAAAGGTGTCTAACAAGACCATAAACTCTGTCCAGTTAGTTACAAAAATCATTTTGGGATTCTTTTCTAGCTGTCATTGCCCAGGAGGAAAGGTTGTCGTGACATTTGAACTTGTTGATCCCAAAGCTCAAAAGCGAGTAGTTGCAGTCAAGGGCGGACCCACATGGAGATTTTCGGGTGCTCGAGCACCCATTAACCTCGTATCGAACTATATATACTTGTATTGAAATTAAGACAAAGTCGTATAAAACTAAAGGTGAGCACCCATGCTACAAACGATTCAATTGGTTTGTTGGTTGAAAGTGGGTGCTTAAGGTTTACATTTTGCTTCTCAGCCCCAGTTTGAATCCCTCTAAACACATTATTTCTACCTTTTCAACTCTTATCTTTGTGCCTTATAATTTCCAATTACACTTTCTTTTATTTATTTATTTATTTGCTTTTGTCCTTGATCTATTTTCCCTTTCACATTGTCCCGCCGAATTTTCTTAAATTAAATTTTATACAAAAGTTCCAAATTTCCTTCTCCTTTTTTCAATATACTTTTACTCAAATTTTTTTTTTTCGCTATCGTATTTAAATATCATTTTTATGACTAGTGTTAAATTTGTGCATTAATATTTTGTGATTGATAGTTAAAGAAGCAACCACGATCGTAAAATCTTGAAGCGGTCACTGCTCATGTCTATTATGCAACTTAATCATGATTTTCCATGTTTATTTACTCTTTCTTTCTCATCAGTCTAATTAGGGTAAATGAAAAGGGAAGGGAAAAATATTATGTTCTAGAACCTTCATTTAACTTCTCCAACTCAAAAGCAAAAAAATCCTCTTTCTCATTGGTTTGCCTTTTTGGTAATTACAATCGTTCGTGAAGGTATATTGTTCCTCCTCTTTTTTTTTTCTTGAACCAATTCAATGAATTTTGATTGACTATTAATTGTTTTTAAAAAAAAAACTCTTGTTGAGGAATTTTAGCGCGCAATTACGCTCTTTGGTTAATACAAGTTTATATTAAAAATAGTGAGCACCCATAACCGTAAAATCCTGAATCCGCCACTGGTTGCAGTGCTCACGAGCTCCTTAGTTTGACTATGGAAAAGAGGTTGACATCTGCTCAAATAGATGAATTTCATTCCGAGTTACAGTTACCAGCTAGACTTTTGCTTTGCTTAATCAAACAACACGGTATATTCTACATCACTAATAAAGGTGTTAGGAGTACCGGTATACTTAAAAAGGCTTATGATGGGTCTAATTTGATCTGTAAATGCCCTATGATTATTAAGGGATAAGTTTATAGCACTTACAGTAAGAAAAGATATTGATTCATGTATCAGGGCTCCGACTTAGTTTATTTAATTAAAACAGTGGTTTACACTGTAGTTTGTTCTTTTTACCCTGTTTCTCATGGGTCTTGATCAGTATTGTGTTAATCAGTAACACCAGTGGTCAAGATATTGGCAGTGGTGTAGCTTTGGAACTTGGGTCAACTTTAGTTGTCTCGGGCACGTTTTTTAGCCATTCTGGAGCCATATAACCCCTGGTTCCTCTAAAAATCGTTTTTGTTCGCATTTGGTCTTTTATACGAAGCTTTGCAAGACCAAAATCAGCAATTTTTGCAGTGTTGTTCTTGTCAAGAAGGATATTTAGTGGCTTAATGTCGCAATGAATGATCTGGTTCTCGCACTCTTCATGCAAGTATAACAGGAATCTGGCAATGTCAAGTACTATGTCACTTCTTAGCTTCCATCTTGGTCTTTGTCCATGGCGAAAGATTAAATTTGACACAGCCCCATTTTTCATTAATTCATAAACAAGAAGCCTGTTGGTTTTTTCCTTGCAGAAGCCTAACAAAGGAACCAGATTTTTGTGATATGTTAGGCCTATCACCCTTACTTCTGCCAAAAATACTTTATCATCTCCTTGTTCAATTCCATTTCCTAATTCCTGCACAACAACTTCAACTTCTTCATCCTCTAACTTGAGAATTCCGCTATAAACAGCACCAAAAGCTCCTTGGCCTAATTTATTCTAGAAACCATTGGTGGCTTCGCGCAGCTGCTGGAACGAAAATGCCCTTAAATTCATCTCAATTGCCTCTCGTTTTGGAGGGGTTTTGGCATATCTATATTTCTTCACAAAGGGGTGATAATATATAACAATTGCTGCAGAAAACGAAGCGAGTACTCAACATATTGTCACACCTGCTACCAGAACACCCTTTGAAACAGAGTGCTTTTTGTTTTGAGTTATTGAAGAGTTGCAATGCAACCATGTTATTTGTAGCAGGATTAATACTTCTGGCATTCTGTATAGGCATCCTCTTCTTGAAACATGTTGAATCATTAAACACAGCTGCCTCACAAAGACAATCATTCAACACTTCCTGCCTGCAAAGCTCCTCTGTAGTATCATTGTTTAACAGATTGGTAACTTGATAATCAATTATTAGGCAAGTAAATATATTTCCTAAGTAGTTGCACAACATTAGAAGGATGAACAAAATAAAGCTATTACCATAACAAGTCAAAAGATTGTCAGCCAAAGATTTATCCGTTTTTAAGTCGTTTCATTTGTAATACTTTCATTACAGTAATTTGTTTCTTTTTTTATTAATTTATTTCAATTTGAAACTATATTTACTATCTCTTCATGTTGTAATACTTTTAACAGGTTTCTTGCTTTCGGCACCACCAAAATTGGTAACACTTCTCCACCTTGTATTTACTTGCTTCAGTTAACATGATATTTATACTATTGTTCGTTGAAGTTGATCGCTTTTAAAATTAAAAAAGAACAATTAGTATATGTTTGGTGAATATTGTATTCTTGAGCATCTTTTTTGTTTGGCCTAAAGAATACTAATTAGATAGAAATAAATCACATTTACTTCACAAATATATATTGTATTAGTACATCCTAGCTACTATAGACATACAATGACAAGTGTGGACGAGCTCGAGAACCAATGCCTACCTATTAGCAATTTGAAGAAATATGCAACAGAATGGGTGATTAAAGTCTTAGTCATTCAGCGGAGCTTAACAAAAGAGTACAAAAATGCAAATTCACTGGCAACTAATATTCGTCGATGAAGAGGTAACTATTTTATTTTTTTATTAGATTCATTACTTAATATGTTGACTTCTTTTGAGAGTCTAATGATTATGAGTCTTGTTATTAATCTGTGTATAAAAAATCAGAATTACTGATTTCAATAAACTTTGAAGAAACACGAAGTAACCAAAGTTTAATAAACCAGTAAAAATAGATGAACAGAAATTAATTGACAAAACTAAAATCTGTAATAAACGTACCACAATCTGGAAAAAATAGAATCAGAAAAAGATCAAGCCCACTGAATGCACAGTGTCCCCTTAAGGAAATTATTCCCCTCTAGTATCCGAGGTTTGATTTGGAATATGTCCTCCCAGGATAGAATGATCTCAATCACCAGTGCATTGATACCCAAAACGCTGGTGTCAGCGAACCACTCAACAGCAGTAAAGTACACGAAGAAATTTTGTGCAGAAGAAGAAGAAGAAATCAGAAAAATTCGTAACGAATAAATCTGAAGAATCAATGTATTTATAGGCAAGAGGAACTGGTTCCGAAAGGTTGCAATCCTTTCAGAATCCACACGACCATTCATGAAAGTTTGCAACCTTTCAAACGGTCATGGCTGTTTCTGAAAGTTGCAACCTTTCAGAATAGTCACTGCGGGAAATTTAAATAAAATGGGAAAGATTTAAATAAAATGGGTCGCGCGTGGATCCGAGTCGGGTCGGGTCAATTAACTAATTAATTGAATCGGTTAATTAACTAATTAAAACGTTGGCCATTTAATTTAATTTAATTAATTAAATAATTAATTAACTAAAATAATTAAAACAAACTTTGTCCAAAAAATAATCTCTCGATCGATCACAAATCCAAATCCAAATCCAAATCCAAAGCCGAAGCCGAGCCAAGCAAGCAACGACGACGACGGCGCGAGGGGGGTCCCTCTTTCCAACCCTTTTAACAATTAATAGGAGTGTTTCTATATTTAAACTCTCCTATTTTTCTTTCCACCACCGATGAGGGACAAATGTCTTTTCAATGTCTTTTCAATAAAGCATAAGAGGACTTTTCAAGTTCTCAACTTTTCAAGTTCCCAACTTTTTCCAAGTTCCTCTTTCATCTTCCCTCAATTTCCCATTAACTCTTGCTACATACCCAACAATCCCCCACATTAATGGGGAATGGTTATAACATAAGGAATGCACGGACGAGTGTGTACTTTACAAGCAAGAATCAATTGCATCTGGATAAGTAGGTTTCCCCTTGGACTTTTCGTAGTGAACATATGTTGGATATACTCGGTCAATCGGTAGATGCGATATCTTTGAACCGTCGAGCTTTGGTGTATACCTAGACAACCATATGTCACACAATTAACCCTTTACTGTTTATGGTTCTTACGATTGTGTTCGTTTCAACCATGAACACCTACTGGTTTCATAAGTGTATAAAAAATAGGCTTTTGACATAAAATTCTTTTTGAAGCGGCTTACACTTCACACTCACATAAGTGATTTCTAACCGTGTCATCTCGTAGATACACTATTTGGTCAAATCTGCCAAACTTAGCAAATCATTAAAAACTTTAAGCTTTATTAACTCATTAACATGCCTTAAAGTCTTAACCTTGTTCCTGAACATTGTCTTCATCATGAGAATGGATTGAGTTGATTGACAATGTCGAACCGTCAGTCACAACTTTGTTTTTCTCCTTGAATCTAGTTCTTGGGATCTCCAGTCTGCTAGATAGAGTTACCGCCCTGCTGACTTGTCCTAAGCCGTAAACCCATTCCCTTAGATGATCTTTCAACTGCCTCTCTCACTAGGCCTTTCGTTAGTGGATCTGACACACATAGTCAATTGTGATAATTCCACTAGAGAGGAGTTGTCTTACGGTATTATGTCTCCGTCGTATATGACGAGACTTCCCGTTGTACATAACGCTCCCTGCCCTACCTATTGCTGCTTGACTATCACAATGTATGCAAATAGGTCCCATAGGTTTGGGCCAGAATGGAATATCCTCTAAGAAATTCTGGAGCCATTCAGCTTCTTCACCGGCCTTATCTAAGGCAATGAATTAAGATTCCATTGTGGAGGGAGCGATACATGTCTGTTTTGATGATTTCCCAGAGACTGCTCCTTCACCAAGTGTAAACACATAACCACTTGTGGATTTTACTTCATTTGACCCGGTGATCCAATTTGCATCACTATATCCTTCAATCACGGCAGGATATTTATTATAATGCAAAGCATAGTGTTGTGTATCCTTCAAATAACCCAACACACGTTTCACTGCCATCCAGTGAGTTTGATTCGGATTACTAGTGAACCGACTCAGTTTGCTAATAGCACATTGCTATATTTGGTCACGTACAATTCATAATATACATCAAACTTCCCAACACTCTGGCATATTCCAATTGAGAGTTACTTTCACCTACATTCTTTTGAAATGTAAAGCTTAAATCAATTGGAGTTTTGATAACATTGAAATTCAAGTACTTGAACTTATCCAATACTTTTTCAATATAATGAGATTGAGATAATGCTAGTCCCTGAGGAGTTTTGAGAATCCTGATCCCTAAGATCAAATCAGCAACTCCTAAGTCCTTCATATCGAACTTGCTGGACAGCATGCGCTTAGTAGCTTTTATATTGTCAATATCTTTACTCATTATTAACATGTCATCAACATACAAACAAACAATGACTTCATGATTCGGAACATTTTTAATGTAAACACACTTATCACATTCGTTAATCTTGAATCCATTTGTCAACATTGTTTGATCAAATTTAGCATGCCATTGTTTGGGTGCTTGCTTGAGTTCATAAAGCGACTTCACAAGTCTGCACACTTTCTCTTCTTTACCAGGAACCACAAACCCTTCAGGTTGTTCCATGTAAATTTCTTCCTCCAACTCTCCATTTAAGAAGGCTGTCTTTACATCCATTTGATGGATTTTAAGATCATGCACTGCCGCTAGTGCTATTAACATTCTAATTGATGTTATCCTTGTTACTGGAGAGTATGTATCAAAGTAGTCCAGACCTTCCTTTTGTCTATATCCTTTGACTACAAGTCTAGCCTTATATTTGTCAATAGTCCCATCGGCTTTCATTTTCCTTTTAAAGATCCACTTTGATCCTAAAGGTTTATTTCCTGGAGGAAGATCAGCCAATTCCCAAGTATGATTACTTAAAATTGATTCGATCTAACTATTGACAGCTTTTTTCCAATAGATTGACTCAGATGACGACATAGCTGCTTTAAATGTTGGAGGCTCATTTTCAAGAAAAAATGCCACAAAATCTGGTTCGAAAGAAGTGGATTTCCGTTGGCGAGTACTACGCCTAGGATCTTCATTAGGTTGTGCATTTTCCTTTGATTCTTCCCGTGGTCGTTTAGATCTTTCACTTGTCGACTCACATTCAGTTTTATACGGATAAATGTGTTCAAAGAACTCAGCGTTATCTGACTCAATTACCGTATTCACATGAATTTCAGGATTATCAGATTTGTGAACCAAAAACCGGTAGGCCTTACTTTTCACAGCATATCCAATAAATACACAATCCACTGTTTTGGGTCCAATTTTCACCCTCTTAGGTAAAGGAACTTCTACCTTGGTAAGACACCCCCACACTTTGAAATATTTCAAGTTGGGTTTCCTTCCTTTCCATAACTCATATGGAATTGATTGCGTTTTGCTACGGGGTACCCTATTGAGTATCTTGTTAGCCGTAAGGATGGCTTCTCCCCATAGATTTCTTGGTGAACCAGAACTGATTATTAAGGCATTCATCATTTCCTTTAGTGTTCTGTTCTTCCGTTCAGCCAAACCATTTGACTTCGGTATATAGGGTGCAGTAGTTTGATGGATAATACCATATTCCAAACATATCTCAGCAAAAGGAGATTCGTATTCTCCACCCCTATCACTTCAAATCATTTTTATCTTTAGATTCAATTGATTTTCCACTTCATTTTTGTATTGCTTAAATGCATCAATTGCTTCATCCTTACTATTAAGCAAATATACATAACAAAATCGAGTGCAATCATCAATAAAAGTTATAAAATATTTTTTCCCACCACAAGATGGTGTCGACTTCATATCGCATATATCTGTGTGAATTAAGTCTAAAGGTTTTGAATTTCTTTCAACAGACTTATAAGGATGTTTAACAAACTTACTTTCCACAAAAATTTCACATTTTGATTTATCGCATTTAAAATCAGGCAATACTTCTAAAGTAACCAATTTCCGCAAGGCTTTGTAATTTACATGTCCCAAACGGGCATGCCATAAATCATTTGATTCCAATAAGTAAACAAAAGCAGAATTCTTATTAATACTGTCAACAACCATTACATTCAGTTTGAAGAGGCCCTCAGTGAGGTAGCCTTTTCCTAAG